ATGGCCACATGGGGCATTTCTTTAACAGGGAGAGATACCTTGTCTTGAAAGACCCCTCTCCCCCATGAGTAGCAAGAGATCCCAGCCCCACACCAGACCCCTCAGCCTAGGGTACCAGTGTGGGGATTGTGGCTGAGTGACACAGAGGCTGCTGGAGACCCGGGTGTCCCTCTTAAAGGGCCAGTGCACGAACTTATTGACTCGATCACTCTGAGCTCCAGCACTGGGCAGCTTTAGGGGACCCAGACACATACAGGGAGGAACTGGATTGTCTGGCATGGGGGCAGAAATTCAGGGGTGGCTTTCTACCAGATAGGAGTGCTCACAGGGGACAGTGTTCCTGTCCTGGGACCTTCCCTGTCACAGGCTGACTGGCCAACATATCTGAGTCTCCATCAGCCTGGAGCATACTGTTAGTTCTGCCCTGGGAATTCTCTGAGATCCCACCCCATCCAATTTTCAGTCCCACACAAGCTGTTTATAGCAGCTTTTCCATATGAATGGCCAGACTGGGCGCAGGCTTCAGACTTTGCTAAAATCTCTTAAACAAGCTGTAGTTGGTGAAGTGTGCCTCAAACCTATCAATAAAAGGCCCAAGACCTGGCACTAGCACCACCCTGCCTTGCTTCACAGCTGGGCCTAACCTGGGCACCTCCAAGCCCAATGCAAATAACAGCCATCTGTAGATCCCTCTGTAGCTCCTGTCGGATAGCCTCAGGCACTGGCTGACTTTGCACTTCCCGGAAGGCCCTAGAGCCTGTGCACCTGGTGGACAGCTTCAAACCATGCCAGACTGGGCGCAGGCTTCAGACTTTGCTAAAATCTCTTAAACAAGCTGTAGTTGGTGAAGTGTGCCTCAAACCTATCAATAAAAGGCCCAAGACCTGGCACTAGCACCACCCTGCCTTGCTTCACAGCTGGGCCTAACCTGGGCACCTCCAAGCCCAATGCAAATAACAGCCATCTGTAGATCCCTCTGTAGCTCCTGTCGGATAGCCTCAGGCACTGGCTGACTTTGCACTTCCCGGAAGGCCCTAGAGCCTGTGCACCTGGTGGACAGCTTCAAACCATAGCAGATTACAACTCTACACATCCACAAGTGACCTACTCAAGAGGCAGACTAAGTGAGCACGCAGCACCACTGAAGCAAGTCCAGCTCCATAGGAGTGTTTCCTGCACAGCAGCTCTCCCACTGTAGTTGAAGTAGGTCCTCACAGCCAAGTGGCCTGGAGGTCAATTCTTTCCAGTGACATCAACAACAATCAAGTCTTAACAATAAGACTGCATACAGCCCACACAGGGGCATACGTAGAGTGCCCAGCTCAGGTGACTAGGGAGGCTGAGCCACTGGGCCCTACAGGACAACTACTACACAAGGCTACTCTACCAATTCTAGGAGACATAACAGCTCTACCTAATACATAGATACAAACACAGGGAAGCAGCCAAAATGTGGAGACAAAGAAACATGTCATAAATGAAAGAAATGGAACCAAGCAAACTACTGGATATAGGGTTCAAAAGCATGGTTATAAGGTTACTCAAGGATCTTCATGGGACTTAGTGAGACTTGTGAGGATCTTAGTGCGAATGTCAAAGACATGGAAAAGGACCAGTCAGAAATTAAGCATACACTAACTGAAATAAAG